CCAGGATCAGGTCGAGTCATAGTCACCGCGGTAACCGGGTGCCTGGACCGGATTTGGTGCTGTGGTGGTCCTCGTCATGGAGCTGAGCTCTTCTAGCCAGTGTTAATAATCAAGGGCACAGCCAGGGGGACTTGAGCGGCTCCTGAAAGCTTGGTACAGGCTGTCCTTCTGTGTTCATTTCCTAACATTTCAGAGGAGAGCTCATCAGCTGCGTGGAGCTCAGAATAGTCAGGGTTTAGTTGTTCATTCAGCTGCCAGGTAACCGGAATGGGCAGCATTTTAGCCCATCAGCTGGCTTGGGGGATGTTCTGGTGGCTGCGCATTACGCATCACTTCTCCGTGACATAAGCCTTATATAATAATCTCAGGCGTTTCGTTTGAATATGTTATTAGTCGGATGTTCTCTGCGCAACTGGCGCAAACAGCTGCGCGTCTCCACCGTGTGACCTGCGGGGGAAATGATGTCAACCTGGCTGCGTGCGCAAACTGATAGAGTTGGAAAGGTAGAGGAGCACCTATGAGAGGTGATGATGTGGCTGGGGTTGGTCTGGCGCAGCTGTTGATTTTAACTGCTTGTCTGCTGAGTGTTCAGTAGCACGCAGGCAGGCTCACCCCACCCCAGCCCACCCAGCCCACCTCTCTGTCCACCTGGTGCGGACGTTTGGAGCAAGGTTGCGTGTCAGAGCTCATTAATGCCGGACCTTGGTTTCCCTCTCATCCACGTGAATGCAGGCTGGCTCCGAGCTCTGCATTGCAGTCTGAACTGAGTCTAGACCAGGCTATTTTTTCCCCTCAGAGCACCACTGAGTTGCTTTGCACATAGATTCCCTCTGTTGGTGTAATGTCAGGCCAGAAAGCTGTGATGCATTTTATTTGCAGCTCAGCTTGGCTCTGGGGAGGTGTTGCACATGGGAAGAAGGACCCTTTGCGTCCTGTCTTAATATTTTGACACCAGTTAACCCCTAGTCCTAGACAGATGTGTTATAACCCAAACACACGCAGAGGGTTGGGTTATATCTTCTGAAATACAAGCTGGAGTTGGATTACACAGCACAGTCACCGGCTCTGGACAATGGTGTGGCATCCCATCCTGTTTTTGAACAGTCAAGAACAACTTATTGATCTTGAATGTCATGCTGTTTTGGCTTGTGCTTCCTGTCACATGGTCACTGAGCAACTCTTCCTCTTCCAGCTTCAGTGTTGTACAGTCATGTAGATCTTAGCAATCATCAAACACTGTATGCAGCTCTGATACGGTGTCCTTCCTGAGTTCGCAGCAGCGGGGTGGAATGATGTGAGCTGTCTTTATTCAGAGGGAGAGACCTGGAGGGACTTTCACACAAGCTGTTGACATTTCACATCAATTTAAGTCCTCTACGTTTCTGAACAAAACATGCATTTGTGAAAGAATTGATAGAAAAAAAGGGATGTTAGCATGTTCAACCTTTAGCTTCTTTTGCTCTTAGTTGCATTAAAACATGAAATGTGTTTCCATTGGACAGTAATAGTGGTGTCAGGGTAGGAGAACATGTAGAGCTGCAGCAATTAGCTGATTCATTGATTAGTTGTCAACTATTAATTCCATTGCCAACTGTTTTGATAATCAATTCATTGTATTATTTTAGGACAAAATGTACAGATTCTCTGATTTCACTCTCTCTGATGTGAATATTTTCTGGTTTCTTTATTCTTGTATGGCAGTAAACTGAACATCACGGCGTGGATCGAGAACGTCCTCCACAGATGAATCCATAATGAAAATAATTTATAGTTGCAGCCCCAACATGGACGTCATACAAGGGGTTGGGTTTAACACAGTCAATAGCGCATGATATTCTATATGTTAAGTGTGCATACGATTCTAAGATTGTTAACTGCACTTGTATTGCATTGCATTGGATTTGAGGTATTTGTTATTTTGTGCACCCTCTTTTTCTTGCCAAGTAGCAGTCTTGACATAAGTGGCAAGTAAATTACGGTCAAATTGCCAGCCGCCAGTAGCAGATCAATTCCCCCTTTTCTTTCCTTTTTTAAACAGGCAATAAACAAAGACATCCCAGGTCTGCTTTTTATACTTGAAGAAAACCTTTGGAAAATGAATTTAGTTTGATGTATTGAAGTTTTGGAATGTCGCATTCCGGAAAATATGGAGACATAAATAGTTGAGGTGCAGATGTCATTTCTACATGGCTGTAGACAGCAAAGAGACTTTACATCTGGAGGTACTTGTTGTGTGGAATCGTTTCCAGTCACACAGATACATCTCCATGTCTGTTCTCACAACACCGATAAATAAAAGCAGGTTCAGACACATCTGCAGGTAGCATTGTCAGTATGTCCGCTGTGGATTGATGTAGGCGCCCCCCCTGTTGGTCCAGCCCTGTACTGTAACTCCCATACGTCCTGCTCTGAACATACGCCTGGATTTTTGATAGACTAGAGTTACACATGACTTTTGTTTTTCTATCGGCCATCGTCAGACCTGCGCTCCACATATCAGCACCAGCCATTTAATAACCCGGACTGGTTGACCTCCAGTTTTTAACCATGTGATGTTTCATTGAGCCCTGTCAGGTGGTCAGGGTCACCTTTGGGACTGATGGGGAGCTGACGGCCATCCACACTGATGAAAGATGAACAATTTTAATGTGGTTGGCAGCCTAGAGTGACATCATATAGGCAGTATTGTTCTGAAAGTGATCCCAGCGGTATCGTTCACCACTGTTGTCATCATAGTGGCAGTGTGGAATCTAGCATCCACTTGAGTTCAAATGATTTTTAAAACTATACATTTGTAGTTACTGTTAGAGTTATTGTTCTCCGTGTAGACAGCCTTTTATGTACTGGCCTTCAATCAGGGCAGTCGGGGAAGTGGATGGACATTTTAACAAACATCACCCATTTGAACTTAACTATAAATATCTAGTAATCATAATATTTGGTGTCTACCATGCTAAACGGTGGCAAAAACCGCTCATTAACGCTGATATGTGGGGAAAGCGGAAGTTGTAAAACATGAAGAAAGTCCCAACACTCATCCTCTGAAAGCCTTACCTGTTTTCTCCAAGATGCTGCAGCTCAAGCGCTGTGATTTTTATTGGATGCACCCCACAGTGCTGGGGCCAAAATGGCCGCCACAGTGATGTCAGCGCAGTGACCTGGCTTCCTCTGTAGTGTTGACTGCTCAGTTCCAGCTCTAAAGGCTGCATTCAGGGGCGTTCAGGCTCTTCCTGTTCAGGGTGACTGTTGGGGTGAAGAACATAGAGCTACAAAGATCATTGTCTGCACAGGAGTGTGTGTGTGTGAGCTAGCTTGCATCTGTTTGCGTGTTGTCTGTGTGTGCATGTGTGTGTCTGTGCTGCAGCTGTCAGCAGTGATGTGATGTGTGGCTTAGAGCCGCCCTCACTGCTGCGTAACATGAAAAGGAGATTTTGACAGAAACAGATCAACATAGAGAGCGCAGACATCCCCAGAAGTGATTTAAATAATATTTGATCCTGAGCGTGGCACCAGATCAGCCTACAACATATTTGATTACATCTCATCTCTTTCTGTATTTATAGAGAGACATCAGAAGCCCACATTTAGCAGCTCTTAATCTAATTTGCGCATACGTTGCTGAACAGCCTCTTATTAATCACATAGTTAGATACCTAAACCGTTGAAATATTGTGTTGGCCAACTCAACAGCACCCAGATGTAGAGCACAGAGAACAAGTCCCCATGGTGGTGGGCCTTACCATCACCACGGCAACCAAGGTGTAGCTTCACCAGTTGCCGGGGGCAACAAGAGAGAAGCTGTGTCGAGCGACACGCAAGGGTTGGGTGCACGGAGGGAGGGAGGGATGAGAAAGACAGCAGGTGAGAGGAGGAGGAGGAGTAGAGGGCTGGTTAGCTGGGTAAGGAGGTGCACAGAACAGGAAGAGAGAAAAAGGAGGCCGAGGTGTGACGAGGCAGAGGAGGAGCAAAGTTGCCCCCGTTGCTGGGCAGGCACATAGTGGTTCTTGAGTCTACCTTTAGCCATTAAGACATCGCCTACCGCTGCACTACTACTGCTGGGGCACAAATCCCTCCACCATCTCTCAGTCCTATCAGTATAATACTCGTCTGAAGCAGTATTGGAATCATTTTAGAAAAATGTCTCAGCAAAAGTATTGTGATAAAATCAAATAGGAGGTTTTTTGAGTCATTTTTCTCGATTTCAGAGCTGTACACTCTTTGAGGAGCTGACTGTACGAAGGTTGCAATAAAAGTGCATGAACATGTACCGCTAATTCAATGTTTGGTTCTACCAATTGTTTAATAATAAGAATACTGAGAGTGCTGAAGAAAGTCACTGGTGTTATCAGGTTTTATTTCTCAGAAAGAACTTGCAACATTGTATACTGTTATTTGTTATTTTTAACTTGATTTAAAAAAGCCTCATCGGCGAGTACTGATGAAGACGAAGAGGCCTTCTCTTGTTTTTGTAGCACCACCATTTTTCTCTCTTGGTTGCATGCTTGCTCATTGTAAGTCTTAATTTTTGCTCCCAACCGAGAGCAGAGCATCCAGTTAAATCTAGCTGTGTCTTGGAGGAAGCAGGTCGTAGTTTGAAATGAAAGGCCTGTATCTGGGACAATCTCGGTTGAAGACGAGATGCATGTTTTAAAGGGTCAGCTCAACCACCCCCGTCACCCCCCATTGTACTGGGGTGTCTTTTAATATCTCAAAGACGAATATGTGCAACCCTCTGCAAATACAACCCAAATATTTGCATGGCCATATATGCTAGAGGTAGGGTTTCTGCTAAACTGCCTGTTAAATGTGACTACCAAAAACCAGCCAATGATGACATGGATGCTGAAAAGGTGGTGGGTAACAACGGCAACAAGACTTCACCTGGCGTGAGGGGGGCTATGTGGGGGAGGCCTGTCTCTAGGGATACCGGTGTTACCTGCACAGCTGTCAGCCATCTTAAAACCAGTCACTGGTGCTGGCTTCACCAAATTGTTTCCTAACTGCTTTTCATTTGTCGCCAGGTGGTTGCCTTAGCGATGGACGGGGAGTCAGAACCAAACCCTGTCGGAGCAGAAGAGGCAGGGGAGCGGGTGGAGCCCATGGATGCCACTCCCTCCCCCCAGCAACAGACCACGCCCCCCTCAGAGGAGGCTGGGGAGGCAGTTTCCATGGTAACAGAAGATGGAGCCACAAAGGTTGGCACAGAGGACAATGACGATGATGATGTGGTTCTCGTAGGGGAGGAGGCTCCCCAGCCTTCTGCCACAACCCTTTCCCAAGACACACCCAGCACAGACTGCCTAGAGCCAGCTGCTGCCGTGGCCACTGTAGACACGTCCACGGCAGCGATGCCTTCCAAGACCCCCAGTTCTCCTGCGTCTTCCAGCACATCTACAGCGGCAGCACCTCCTAAACCTCCAACCACAGCAGCAGAGCCTATCGTCATCGACGACGAGGAGGAGTCTGAACAGAAAGACACTTCGTCCTCCTCACCAGCGCACCCTGGAGGCTCCTCTGCGTCCCACTCGCCAGGTGTACTCAGCAGCACTGAACCAGATTCAGAGATCAGGATCGCCAGTGTCACCACACTGGGCTCCAGTAGCCAGAAAGGAAGCTCCACCGTTTCTGCAGTAAATACTCCACCACATCCAGCGGACGTCCAGGCAGACATGAACCTGATGATAACCTCAGTGACATCACTGCAGGGCGGGGCGGCGGCGGCGGCTGTCACAGTGGTGAGAATCACCAGAAAGGATTTTATTTATACTGATGTTGCTTTCGTCTCATTTACATTCATCTCCACTCTCTGCAGGGGTTTGTTTGTTTTTTTAAAGTTACATATTAAAAATGTGCCTCCTAATTGGTTTTAGGAAAAGTTGGATCTTCTGATGTTGTCTGCTGGTAGACGTTGATGAAAGCAGGTGTTCTCTTTGGCATAGCAGGTTTATTCTTGGCAAAGTGGATAATGATATCTTTGTAATGACACTGCTGAGAGCTGATATCTTATGCCAATATTTATTCATCCAAGTTGCACTGGCAGCTCCTAGTTAGATGAGGTTGGATTCATTGCGTTACAATCTGCGTGGCCCTTGTGTCTTCCTTGTTGTCATCTTGTTTTCTTATGTTTTGTCACTAAGGAGAAAAAAAACTAACCCAAGCAACTTGTTTGTCTAGGCTAGTGAGGGTCAGGCAGAGGAAAATGGACTGCAGATCAGCAGTGCATTCAGCCTGAATCCCGACACCCCACCTGGTCGACCAACAGCCTCCTTCAACCCTGGGCGGGGCTCAGGCCCCATGGGCCAGCTGGTACAGAATGGAGACACGGGGACGCACAACAGAGCAGGTAACGGTTTTATCATTAAAGCAAGAAGAAAATTCACTTAGCATGTTCTCACAGGTTAAATGTTACAATTGCAACACCACATTTGGCTTTGGTCAGTGCAGCGTGTGAAGGCTATCAGAACATGTTAAAATTAGAGCTTTGTGTGCTTACACCCCCATTACACTATAACCTGATACTAGTCAACAGTATCATGGTAGAGTAGTCTGCCACGTGTTTGTGTTTGCCTTCATATATGTATTTTTTATTTTGTTCCCTCCACTGGTACTGGCAAGCATGCCCCTTCAGGCCTTCTGATAGTGTTCATGTGAAACCTGTGGTGTCCTGTTTCAGACCTTTCTGTGAAATTGCTGTTAAGCTCCGTTGTTAATTTACCACTTCTTTTGGAATTGAGGGCTACAGGTGCCAATCAGTATCCTATACACATATATATGTTTGACATGTATATGCTTTATATACTATGATAAAACCTGTTCTAAAATGTGGCAAAAAAACTAACAGTGTTCTCTTTTAAAGTGTAACTGAACCTGTCAGTGTGTTTACATGCAAACAAACATTATGTAAACAAGAAAGAAAAACGCAAAGCCCCCTCATTCATTCGAAAGCAGGGTCATCCTGAAAAAAAGTTTAACGTGTCTTAACTTTTGCTGCAACACAACGCAGCGTCACTCAGCAAAGTACAGTGTTGGCTATTTATAAAACACTGCAGTGTTTTGGTGTCTAATAATCATTCAGACTTTTCATTTAACTCCTCTTCCTGTATGTTTCACCTAAAGTTACACACCTCACCTCAGTTATAAGGCTCGGTGACACACCTCCATTTCTGCTTGTATACACTTAATTGGGCATCATAACAGGGTTTTTAGAAGGAACCAGACTCTTTCTCATGCATTGCTATCACAGCAGTGCAGTGGGGCAGAAGAAAAGATTATTACTGAATCCATAATAAATCAATCCAAAGATCAGCTGAATTAGAAACTGAAAATTGAATCTAAATAAATCTGTATTCTACCACTAAACCACAGTTTTTGACCTCCAAAAGAATGTAATTTCCCTTTGCTGTGAGTTAAAACTCTTTTACACTGAGCAGAGACTCATGTTCACATCCAAAGAAAAACAATAGGGAAAGGTAAAGGGAAAAGCCTGATTACTGAGCAGTTGTGTGGAAACTAAGTAGTACTACAGTAACCAAGTATTGTAATTCCTGTAAGCAAATTCCAGTGTTCACCCGAAGACCTACCCAGTGAACCCTCAGAAACTTTAATAAACACCACCTGTGTGCTCAGCAGAGATGTTTGAGTGAAGGCTGTACGAGTTCAGTATGCTTTATGAAGAATTGGACAGCATCTTGTGAAAGCATGCCTTCCTAAGACAAAAAAACAGACACAGTAAACCTGTTCTTGTCCAACTCCTCCCCCCTCACACTCGTTAACATTAGAACGCGATGAATTGGGTAAATCCCTCAAGCAAAATGTGCACCATTTGAAGACCTATAGAGAGTCTGGATAAAGGGATTAAATAGTTCCCAAGTGGGCCATCAGGCACTTTCTGATTTCAATGTGGGACAGTCTTGAGACCACACAGACTTATTGGCTGTCTGTGAATTGATAAGGTGGGGCTTTGGGGCTTTGGGACTGTGACTGAGACAGTTTTATGTTCCTGTCTAGTTCCACACGGACTCTAGATGGTGCTGTTGACTGCAGCGGTCCTCTTTTCTAAAACTGGCTTCTGTAGGATTATTCTCTTGGATGCATCATAGTTTCATGTTTGCAGTTTAACCAAGTACAGCAGAATCACATTTTGAGCAGCCACATCTTGCTACATACCATCTTCAGTATCAGTATTGCAATGACAAAAACAACTGACCAAAGTTTTGCTGGAGATGCAACAAGTGTGAAGTTGAGTTGCTTTAGGTAATATGGATTGGTGGTGCAGGTTATGTTATTTCCTGGTTGTCAGTTTTTCCAGGGTTGGTAAACAGCTGTAAAAATGTATATTTTGTCATCTGATTCATCAAGATGTTCTGTTATGTGGTGACTCGGCCTAATGCCTCATGCTAAAGGTGCATACAACCAGGACAACCTGCAACCAGGGTCTAAAATTAAGTTTTTAGCTCAGAGGAATTTACGAGCCAAAAGTATTTTTTTCTGGCCATAAAACTGCTTAATGCATTATTTAAATAATATAATAATAAAATTGAACGCTTATCTTTCTATCTGTTTTAAAGTCCTGTCCATTCCATTATTTTAAAATTAGTCTTTGTAACTCTCTTTTTGGAGGGTCGCTCCAAACTAGGGGATAACTGGGACAAGGCAAACTGAGTCCTTATGACGAATTGACATTTACTGTTTGTCTCAAGAGATGTAGGATGGAGATAACAGTTCATTTTCTCTCTTTCCCTCCAGACTCGTGGATCTCTCAGTCAGCTTCAGTTCCTCGCAACCAAAAACAGACAGGGGTCGACTCTCCATCACCAGCCACCTCCCTGCCCAAACCTCCAGGCCAGTCTTCCTCATCTACTTCCTCCTCAGGCTCCCAGCCACAGCCCAGGACAGTCAAGGTGATCCACTCTGTTCATTGAGGTCCTGTGTAGTTGCATTAGGTGTAGTTCATTATGTACAGGAGGCAACAGGACATTTTGTTTTACATCTTTAATCCAGAGTTAGTGGGTCGTCGTCGTTTTGTATCTGTGTTTCATATTTTCATCCTTTGGCAATCACACTGCAGCCGGTCTGTACATACATTTACACAGCCAATGTCAAATGGCAGACTAACAGGAAATTTATTTCACTTTGAAACAACAAGTGGGATTGAACACATAGTTTTCGGACTTCATTACCTCGTTAATTTCATTGGTTTATCGGCTGTTCTGTATAACTGCATTTGAAGGGAGAACAACAGCAGTCTTTGGTCTTTTTAGTGTTTTATTTCATTCAGTTGAAGTGTACCGTTTCTTTAGATCTGAGGTTAAGAAGGTTTTACATTAGTGGTTTCCAATCTTTTTCCTTAAGGGACTACCATTTAGTAAACTGATGACCCCTGACATATTGTATGAATATTTCATATTATATTCAATATATGTACAATGAACCCAAACAGTGAGCTCCGTAACTGCAAGAAGTTTGTGTAACACGAGTGATGAATTTTAAGCAGATTATTTCTTGTATAGGGAACTTTTATACAATTCTCTGTATTATGTATTTTTCATTTTTAATAATAAATATTCTTATTCTTTGACAAATACAATGTTTTCTTGTCCTTGGTGCTTGGCCATTGTTACTGCTATTAGACAATTTACTTTACATTTACATTTCTTCACAGAAATGAGCCAGATGCTGAGATATAGGCCAGCTTTGTATTTTTAAAGTTTTTTTACAAGAAGACCTTGCAACCGCCTGTGAAGCTTTGGGAATCACTGTTTTACTTGAACCAGAATGTGCAGGGGTTGTAAAGAGGGATATTTGTTCTGTGCTAATACAGGAAGGTCCTAGATTACTTACTGCCGTTGTAAAACTAACCAATCATTGCTGTGTTTGTTCGTCCCAGGTGACCTGTGCTAACTGTAAAAAGCCTCTGAAGAAAGGCCAAACGGCCTACCAGCGTAAAGGCTCCACACACCTGTTCTGCTCCACCACCTGTCTCTCTGCCTTCTCGCACAAACCCGCCCCCAAGAAGAGCTGCACCATGTGTAAAAAGTGAGTCTCGGCCCGAACATACTGGAACCCATCCAACAGATGAAATATAATTTTTTTATTGTTATTAGTTTGAATTTAGGTTTTTGAAAGTAGTGTGGTTATAACAATAATCCAAAACTGTGGCTCACTGAGTTTCAAATAAGGGAAAAGAATAAGAATTGCTCTTTTGAATAGTGAATTTACAGCAGTTTTGATGTGTCTGTCCCAATTATTAATTGATTTTCAACTCATGTCCTAAACAAAATGCTTAAATACAAGGACGGCTGTTATTACTTTTGCATACTAATGAACATTTTCTGTAGGTGTTAATGTATCTGTGCTCTGTGATGTGTTTTTCAGGGACATCACAAACATGAAGGGTACCATCGTGGCCCAGGTCGACTCCAGTGAATCTTTCCAGGAGTTCTGCAGCACGGGCTGCCTAGGTGCATACGAGAACAAGCAAAACCCGCCCAAATCAGGCCTCAAAACCAAATGTACTGTCTGCGGCAAGCTCACAGAGGTCAGTCTGTCAGACACACTGAATAACACATCCTGCTCATTTACCTGTAATTCTTCTCTTCCAGAGCAACGTACGTACCACTATATTCATGACAGTGGAGTGAATAATTGTAGCAGCAATAGGTAAATGGGTGAGAGTGGAGAAAAACAGGCCAATGGGCATTAATGGTATACAGTGACTTACAAGTGTATTAGTTGACATCTATGCAGTATAAAGGCCAATTTATTGTTTGTATATAGACTCTTAGTCTTGTTAGGCTTCATCCTCTCTTCGTTATTTCCATTCTTGGCTTTGATGTTTGTTTTATTTTACAAGCTTGAGTCTTGTTGCATTTTATGTACATCTTCTCACCCTGTTCTCTACTTTTTTGTCAGATTCTTGTCCCTTTAAGGAACACTTCTCTTACCACCATTTCATTGCCGGTGTCTGTCTCTCGCCTTTCTCTTTCTTTGTCTTCCTCCTCAGGTCACTTTCATTCAATATTTATCTCTGCCTTATTTCTTATGTGCCTTCACTGTTCTCTCATTCACTCTTTATGTCCTTTCTTTTCTCTATTCCTCCATTTCAGCATGGCTTCTCAGGGTTTGTTTCCGTCAGCAGGTCTTCAGCTCAGTTGTCTCACAATTAGACAATAGTTCTCTTCACCTCACAATTAGTTAGCTGGTGGTTGTGTTGAATTGATTTGGTATGTAACCAAAAAGATGGTCTTAGCTCCATCAGGGTACAAACAGCTAACCATTCAGCTACTTGTGAGTGACTTTTTTCATTGTATTTTCTTGCTTCATTAGGCTGTGGGTTTGCTCTGTTACTTGCATCACTGTGTGTCACAACTAACCAGTACTACTGTCACCTAGCAACCACAACTATCTGCATTTGTGACATCTTAAAATCATTTGCATTATTTATGTCTCCTTCTTGATTTCATTTGCATATAAAAGCAACTGCAATGCCCCCAATAAAATGATTTGCAAAGTAACATGGACAGGACACCTTTGTATAGATTCAAAAAAATATTTGTTCCTTTAGCTGATTTTAACTTCAGTATATCACAGCCTGACATGAGTTGTTGTATGAGTTGCTGTAAACCATGACTGTTGCCAGAGGTAGCAAATACATGCAAGTGGCGTTAATTAACTGTTTTTTTCACAATGGGAACCACTGTTGAATTTGTTTCTACTAAGCTAGGACTCCATTAAAATCAGGTGAAACAAAGAGTGATACATAACTACATTGCTCTCAGATTGAGGAGAAGTTTGCAGTTTCAAACAAAAGTAAATTTAGTTTTCAGTTAGTTAATCAGGCTCTTGCTGCCCCTTCTTCATTTTTCTGTCTACAGATCCGGCACGAGGTTAGCTTTAAGACTGTGACCCATAAGATCTGCAGCGACACATGTTTCAACGTTTACCGCAGGGCCAACGGGTTGATCATGAACTGCTGTGAGCAATGTGGCGACTACCTGCCTAGCCGAGCATCAGCCAACCACTTCGTGCTGGTGGATGGCCAACAGAAACGCTTCTGCTGCCAGAACTGCATCAGGGAGTACAAGCAGGTACTGTAGGCCCAACCACAGGCCGCAGGTGTGTAGAACTTGCCTGATTGGGGCCTATGTCCATTTATTTAATTCAACCATATCCATTCAAAGCCAAAACTTTGTCTAAGTTTTTGTTATTAATTTAGCTGTGGTGACCCCTCCTCCTCCTCCTCCTCCTCCTCCTCCTCCTCCAGCCAGGAAACTGCCTCCAGAGCAACTAAAATGTAAATAAAGTAAAATGATTAACCTGGCCATTTTAATCGATCTCCTAAAATATAAAAAAACATTTACAATTACAGTATCACAGGTGTGCAGGCTAAAAAAAAGAATTAAATAATATAAATAATTATCCAAGTGATATAGAAAAATGGTCCTTGAATGAACAAGGGACAGAACTAGCATGAGTTAGTTTACCTACAAAATTTGCACAAAAAACAAAAGAGCTGCTCAAAATAGACACGCACCGATCCACTTTTTTCCAATTCCGATCCGATTCCGATATTTGTATATCTGCTGATACTGACCCTGTTTAAATAAACTGGTAGTATTGTATGATGCAGCACAACTTCCACCCTCACAATGTTGGCTTTACACACTTTATAAGTTGCAGTCTTGCTTTTCTGTGTTTCTAGACAAAACTCTCTTCATAGTAAGAACCTTGAGTCAACTGTTACTAGCTCACTCCGTTGCAGACTGTTTTATGTTACGTTATGGCGGATTCATGGTCCAGCACAAGCTTCAGCTGTACGTCTAATTGGATATCTTTAATATATATTTAATTACGAATTAATTAATTAATTTGTGCTGCAATATTTTAGCTATTGGTTTAAATTTGTATTATTACATATTTAGAAATCATAAAACCATCAGACTATGTAATCTGGATCAGTATGTGGATTGGTGGTGTCTGATATCTGATATGTGAATTAGGTTAGTATCAGCACCCGATACCGTTATTGGATAGGAAAGGCCTTAACTCTAGCTGAAACCATAAAGATTTATTCAGCAGCCAGTGTTACTGTTTGTCCTGCCAAGTTGTTTAGATAGACTAGGAATCTTCAAATAATGAAGGGAAGGGTCTAACCTTATTTCTTTCTACCTGTAACATCACTAATGCAGAGTGCATGCAGTGTGCAGTACAGATCAGCACACCTCTGGATCTTTTTAAACCTCTAGTAATTCTGTTACTCACTTTTTGCTGAACATCTTACAACTAAAATGTGTTTCTATTCAATATTTGCCAGAAATTAGAGGTTGGAATTGTATTTGTTGCTTGGCAACAGCAGCTTATTGGACATTCCACTAAGTGGAAGAAACCGTGGGGTCAGTCATTTCAGTGGTAGAAAATTCAAAGGACATGCTGACTGTTTGGTAAAAATTGGTGTAAAAACTGGTGTTTCTCCAGTAATGATCAATCCTGTGGCTTAGTTGGTAAGATAGATAGTTGATTAGATAGTGAAACATAAGTGTTTGGATGATCCATGGCTGGTGGACAAAATGGCAAATGTTATCCTTTCTATATTTGGCCAGCTCTGCTGTTTACATTTCTATAAAAAGTACAAAAATATATTTAAGACTGGCAAACTATCCTCTCAGAACTAAAATCAATTCAATAATTACAGTTTTGCAAACTGAGTAAAATTACCCTATTCTTTACTCATGTAGCATTGAATCTTCCTCGTTGTACTTTGTAGGAAGAAATAAAAGTTAAACTGTTGCCAGGTCTTACAACACATATTGAAGATACATTTTATAAGTAATGCTATAATAGATTTCCTACTGCTATTACTGGTCAGTGTAATAATAATATGACAGAGTATAGTCTGTGTGCCTTTATGACTAAGTTGGAGGAATAGAATCACAAAACAAACATATTGGCTACATTACTGAGGAGATTTCTGTTCTTCACTCTCTTAATGCTCGTATGTCATCAAGGTCTACTCCATAAAAGTCAGAAACCACTCTGGATGCCCAACAAACACAATAAAATCTCTTGCTCCAATAAAGAGGATCCATCAGCATTTCCAACAATTTAATATAATCTATTTTTTCTGTGTGGAGTATAATGTGAATAAAATAGCTTGAAACTGTTTGATAGAAGCCTGAATGCCACCACTCTAGAGTTAATTTTAAAAAGCTACATTTTTTTTATGCTGGAGTACCGTGTGCATCGAAATGGGTTGACACTGAAATATGGTTATTATTTAAACAATTATCAATGACTTCATATATTTTATTAACATTGGAGAACACGAAGTTGCTGTTTTTTAATGTGATGTTTTCCCTCTCTGTCCCAGGCCCACAGTAAACTTGCGAGCTGCCTGACTTGCAAAACGCTGATCAAGACAGGCGAGGTGCTCCACAGCCTCGGCGCAGGCGGCACCATGGGTTCCTACTGCTCTGTCAACTGCATGAACAAGGGCAAACTGGCATCAACCTCCTTCCTCAGTGAGTACAACACAAGCAAGAGGGTTTACAAACTTAGAAACAAATTTTCTAGGGTTATTGATGTTAATTGATGTTAATTTTTTAACATCAATAAGCCAGACAAGGCCCTTCAGGTAGCATGCACATGTAGACCCGTAAGATGTTGATTAGATCTTAGCAGCACAAAGTTATGTTCTCTATGCCGTCAGTGAGCAGTAGCAGAAACATAATGAGCATTTATCATGCTAAGTGCTGGGTAGCCTACTGTTTGTGTTTGGGATGAATCATTTCCCTGTCTGAATGTATTTAGGTTTGTTTGTATGTTCTGATGTTTGATAAGTGACTTGAGAAAGCAGCAGAGAAAAGCTCCTGTCAACCTGTTTGTCCATTACTTATCATTAGTATTCTTCCCAGCAAACCAAGATGCGTTACTAAACTCTGAATACATAAGTAGAAGGAACAGTCACTTACATAAAAGGACCTTTTAAAAAAGTCACAAGCATGTGTAATACATTCATATTCTTTGAGTTTTAATGTTTAATGTATGTGTGTGCAGACACAGAGCCCACATGTCACATCTGTAAGAGGAATTCATTACCGCAGTACCAGGCCACGCTGCCAGAGGGAAACATCCTCAACTTCTGCAGCTCACAGTGTGTTACCAAGTTCCAGGTGGGGTTTAGAAGACACAAATATGGAACCCAATTACATTTTACAATGAAATTAAAGTGCATCATGTCCCTCCTATGTATTCTGGACTATTAAGCAAAAAAGTTTGATGTAGTTGATTGAAAACACCATATTGTTTTTGTCTCAGCTGCTTTTAGCATGAAAGCAGAATAAGCCCACTTATATACTCATCTAATGTAATAAAAAAGTTTAGATAGTTGAATTTAACTAGAAGCACTGATGTCCCAATTTCTCTATATAAAAATTTTTATGTTATTATACCTGATGGTGAATGATAGTCACAGGATCAAAAATATCCAGATTAACAGTTATTATCTACCCATTTGACACATCCTCATGAAAACAACAGCTCAAAACATAAAACCACAGGTTCCCTCAGTGGAGTCCATGGCCTGATTAGTTTTTTTAGCCCTATGTTGCATACATTTACATATGAACTAGGAAAACTATTTTTCTTGAATCTACCACAACTCAATCATGGTTTATGAGTTCATATAATACCACCCACATGGTGAGAGGAGTTTGTGGGCATGGAGATATTTGCAAGCCATCGTGTTAATTAGCTTCATTAATTACCCCTGTAGTGCCACCAGGTGGTGTGTTTTAACATATCAAGTACCAAAAGTTTTTCATTTTCTCCATTTGTTTTTTACAGAATGCTACTCTTCAAACGGCCACCAATGGACAGACGCCCCTCTCCACTACAAACAACACCGTCCAGCTAAAATGTAATTACTGTCGGGGAGCGTTCAGCTTGAAGCCTGAAATTCTGGAGTGGGAGGTGAGACCATCCTGGAGTAGGTTTCTAATTTGAATACAGATATCACAGGCAGTCTAATGTTGTTCCCTTCCACAAATAATGCTCTATAGTAATGTTTAGTACCGTAGACGATAAACTCCAATAGCTCTACCTTAGAGCTAAACAGTAAGTCAGTAGAAAATAAACCCGCAATTATTTTCATTAATCATTTGAATCATTTTTTTTATGACAAAATCCACTGGTTCTTTCTTCTCAAAATATAGTTAAAAGAAAAGGTTTGGACAAAACAAGACATTTGAATATGTGATGTTGGGCTCTGGGAAATTGGGATGGGCATTATTTACTATTTTGTGACATTTTATACACCAAATAATTAGTTGGTTAATGGAGAAAATAACAATTATTCAGTAATGGAAGTTGCAGCTGTCTACCTTGGTATGGGACAGGATGTTTCCTCAGTGACCACGGCAATCTGTAGAGTTGTTTTTCAGACAGGTAAAAAAGTGAAGTCAAACTCTGTGTTTAATCCAGCTTGTTTCGGCTGTAATAGCGTCCTGCCATTTTTCCAGTTTTTTTTTATGCATGCAGAACCTACTGGTTATGTATCTGAAACCAGAATGGATACAAGACATTTATCTGAATGTGTCTGTCCTCAGGATAAGGTCTACCAGTTTTGTAGTAAGGCATGCTGTGAGGACTACAAGAAGCTCCACTGCATCGTGACGTTCTGTGAGTACTGCCAAGAGGAGAAGACGCTACATGAGACGGTCAAGTTCTCCGGGGTCAAGAGACCTTTCTGCAGCGAAGGTACTAATCTTCTTTCCTCTCCTCTATAGGACACTTGAGCAGTTTTCTCAACAGTTTTAAAGTAGTCGGAGAGACTGATTATATCCTGTGTTGGCTGCTGTTGATTTAGCCATTTTTAAACATATTTCTTGTTTGTATATCTGCTGTCTTTAACCAGGATTTTGCTTTGCTCCTTCAGGATGAGATAGCTTTCCATTTCATCATTTGTCTTTGTTTTTTCAGGCTGTAAGCTGTTATTTAAGCAGGATTTTATCAAGCGATTGGGTCTTAAGTGTGTCAGCTGTAACCACTGCAACCAGCTATGTAAGAGAGGCGTGACCCGGCAGCTCGGGGGCCTGACCCGGGACTTCTGCAGCGAGACCTGCGCCAAGAAGTTCAACGACTGGTACTACAAGGTCTGCTCATACTCAGCGTATCCGTTAATAAATTAAAACAATGTATATGTTATGCGATAATGATAATGTGGATTTTTGTGAATGACACTGTCTCCTTGTGGCCACTAGGCGGCGAGGTGTGACTGCTGTAAGGTGCAGGGTAACCTGACAGAGTCTGTGATGTGGAGAGCAGAGATGAAGCATTTCTGTGACCAGGAGTGTCTGTTAAAGTTCTACTGCCAGCAGAACGAGCCCATCATGGTCACACAGAAAGGCCCCGAGAACACCACCCTGGGTAAAATCTGACTGTGTGTGTGTGTGTGTTTCAAATTACATGCTTACAGTTCCATGTAGCAGAAAATGCTTTTTTTAAGGGTCAGATATTATGGAATTAATGAATGTTATCTGAAGCATGCTGACACAAAAAAAAGTATGTTACTTAATTTGACAATTGAGATTTCTTCATGAGGTAAAGATGTGTTTTATTTCATTTTCCTCTTTACAGGGTTTGAAATGCAAGGGGCAAAACTTGGGGTAAGTAAAGATTAGGAAAAGATGTCAGTATCATAGAGTTTACTTTGAAATCATGAAACATGAGTTGCTTTGTATTAACTAAATATTGTATTTTTATTTACTGCAAATATGTCAATAAATGTACCACTTAATAGTTTTGAGATGTAGGTCACCCACTGTAAAATATGTTAACCAAATATTTATATATTCTGTTTTGTCAGATTTACATACCTACTGTCCTTTAAAAACAATCCCATCATTTGTTTCAAGTTTCCGTTTAATTAATTAATATTTTGTAAGAGCAGAAACCACATTTCTGTTTGCCTACATTTTGTTTTCTGCCATGTTGCAGCTGGTGAACCAGGGTTCTGTTGCGTACGCTGGTGGAGGTTTGGTGAGGGATGTCAAGAACAAGGCCGTGCTCTGCAAGCCACTCACCCTGACCAAGGCTACCTACTGCAAGCCACACATGCAGAGTAAACTTTTACAGACGGGTAAGCACAGCATCATACTTAGAAGAGTGCTACAAATATATCAATTATTATTTTATTTATTATTATATATAGATACATAAAGTTTTTCTTTTGTTTTCGGACACTGGATAGTTAGAGGGAAATGTTATGATGTAGTTATGGTACCTAGCCAGACATGAATCAGAGATATTGTGCAGGACCTAGTGACTACCATATAATCACAGCTCAGTCGCAGCTAAAGTTTGCTATAGCGAGGCAGTGGAAATTGGACCTTTTTGTATTTTCTTTTTCGCCTGAGTCCGGCTTAACAGTTATGTGGAGGTAATAAAATTCCTACCACTTACCCTTCAAAATAATTACTTTTGACCCATTAACAGACACACACACACAGTCATTTGTGTGTATAATGTTGTAATTCAGCATCATCTGTGTCCACAGATGTAGACGATGGTGTGAAGAGGGAGTATGTTCCTGTACCCATACCTGTGCCCGTCTTCATCCCCATGCCCATGAATATGTATTCCCAGGTCACTCCCACTCCATTCTCTCTGCCTGTACCGGTAAGACATGATCCTTAGCTCATGAACACATATGAATTATCTATCCTAAAAGGCAAAAACATAATCTTGTAAAGGTGTTAAAATAGAGAAATCAATAAAAGCTTGTATAATACATGTTAAAATGGCTGTTGTCTAAACAAATGGGCAAACACAACAATTAGGTGGACAAATTGAGTGCTAGAAACATATTGTCATGTTAAATGTGTTGGTGTCAAAGCAAAATCTCATTTACTAATTAAAGTTGCCTGATTACTAACCAAAAGCTATATGCCCTGTCCTGTCCAGGTTCCTGTGCCTGTGTTTCTGCCCACCACCATGCAGGGGGCAGAGCAGATCATCCAGACCATCAATGAACTGAAAAACAAAGTGCCCTCTGACCCTCTGGAGGCCGACCTGCTCTCCATGGCTGAGATGATCGCGGAGGACCAGAAGCCAGGTACACTCATGTGAGGGTTTAAGGTCTATTGTGATGGAAAAGAATGCTCATTGTCGAAAAGTGTCAGATATTCAAAACAAGCAGCTCACACAGGGACAACAGTCAGAGTCTTGTGCCACGTGTGTCATATTCTTTTTGTCATATAACATATTTTTAGGTTTACTAATGACCGCTAATGACAACAGTTTATTTCAGTCAAACACAAAAATCAGTTAGATTTAAAGAAAGCAAAGCAAATAATTACAGTAAGGACCTACTTGGCTGTGTGTTTCAGATGTAAAGCCAGTGAAGGTGAAGCGGGAGTGTGGAGGGGAGAAGTCCTCCAGCAGCAGCTCTGAGGAAGAGAAGGAGGAAGAGAAGGAGGATGAGAAGGGGGATGAGGAGGATAAGTACGAGCCTGACCTGGACCTGGAGGCAGACTTCCCTCAAGGTAAACACCTACTGTCCATGGGAGATATATACAACCTGTTGATGCTAGGCCAGTGTTTTCACATCTGTGATTCACCATTCACTTTAACCAACCCTTCCTAAGTCCCGCCCTTTTGGAGCTTCTGTCAACTTTCTCCTTTCCTGTACTTACCAGATGGGAATGGGTGTGTTGGGGACCGGGGAGTTTGGGGTGGGCGTGGTCACCTACCATCCACAAGCCAGGGAGTCTTGTAATTTGACTGTTAATCTCTGTCACTCTGCGTTTACATGTTCTTATGTAACTGGGTTCTTTCTCCAGTACACTCATTTCTTAAATGTCATGTAAATGAGAAACCCTATTTCCATTAAAGGCATTAGAGAATCTCAGCGGTTTCTCCTTAAGAATGCTGATTGCTTGACCCTGTATACGTGTTACAGGATTTCTGATTGTCTCTTTACTATGTGCATAACGAAGACATCACATAAGAAAAGTATTGCTGCGACAGCAGAGTGATAGGATGATGATTGAGATAAAAGTGCTTTTTTTTTTTTCTTAACCCTGTTTGTCTGAATCACCTGGTCTCATGAGTGCATGTAAATGTACCGACTGTGATTGTATGTCACTGTACCTGAGGCTCTTAACCCCAAAGTTCTGAGACACCGACTGACTGACGTCTTAACTGTTTCACATCCTGACTGGATTTACATTTTCACTATATGACAAATAGGACAACAATTCAACAGATGTTGTTTTTTCCTTTCTCAGCCTCAGACCCTGTTCCAGTCCTGGAGGGAATGGATGAGGACATGGGCTTCTCTCTACCTCCAGTCCTGACGGAGGAGAAGGAGGAGGAGCAGGAGAAGGAGAGACAGGCAGAAGGAGGAGAAGGAGGAGATGGAGGAGATGGAGGTGACGGAGGAGTCGGCACCTCGACCGCAGCCCAGAAGACAAGTATGTACATGTACATGTAACAATTTGAGTGCTTTGTTGTGGCTAACTTTTTACTTTACTGTATAGTATCTGGTGTGTTTGTGTTGCAGGGGAACAAGAGGCAGGCTGTAGAGGAGAGCTCAGATCTTGCCTCGTCCTCTTCTTCCCATCCGACAGGACGATCGCTGCCTCTCAAAGCTCGCTATGGCATCCATGCCTGGAAACGCTGGGCACTGTCTCCTTCTGACCAATCAGATGACACCAAAGTAAAGGACTGCTCCAAACCAGGTAACCTACTGCCCTAGCCCAGTAGTTGAGTATGAGAGTCCACATGCATTGCTTGGTTGAAAATGAAAGGTTGATTGTCATATTTGAAAACATGAAGGATGTGTTTGCTGACAGTCTGTTCCCATCTCCTGCAGCCCGGACTAAAAGTAACTTGTTGTCGCTGAGTTCAGAGGAGCTCAACCTGGCTCTGTCCCGGTTTGTAAGGGAGGTCTGCAGGCCCAGTGGGGAGCGCTACTCTCCAGACAGCATCCTCTACCTCTGTCTGGGGATCCAGCAGGTTGGTACCAAGCCAGAGAATCAAACACCAGGGCCTCTTCAGCAAGTCATAAGGCCATGTATATAAAAATCAGACAAAAGTTTGAACATGGAGACACTGATCATTGAGATTTGGCTGCATGTCACTACATAAAATCTGTTTGAAATATTGTTACTTGAAACTCAAGTGTGAATGCTAATTATTTCCACATATCAATCAACTTTGGGGGTCCTTTTGTTACATGACAACTATTTCCTATAGCTCTTGTCAACTACTAATAAAAACCCATTAGCTGTTACTTGACTTATGTCCAGTCATGTGGTCTACAACAGTGTGGGCAGGGCTGACAGACAATATGCCAAATGGAGTGATCAGGCATCATCTTTGCATCTTTGAAGCATTGAGAACATAACAAGGCATAAAATGGCGATCTGGGTTTACAGCTGAGATTGAACATAAAGCGTAACAAATAAAAATAAAATGATCACAACCATAGTCTAATTACAGTGAAAAGGTCATTTGTTTTCAACTTTATTTATGATGGGAGAAAACAGGAGCTCCTTTGTGTCCACAGTTTATACTTTAAAAGCAGAACAATGGGGCATCCTGCTGTGTACCATGTGATTGGAGTTCTCCCGTCTCCCGTCCCCCTTGTTGCATGTCCCTCTTTTGTTTGTCTCCTCATTTCCTGCCTCACTAGTGTCTGTTTTTATGGCATAAATATGCCATGAAATACTCAAAAAGGTAATTATGAAAAGTAATTAATTTTGTTGACTTCCTCTCCATAAGTATAATTGTTTTACCAACTAAAATAAAATAGAAAATTTCAAAATAACAATGAGATTTTAGATTGTAACTATAAAATATTCATAAAAATATATAAGAAATAAGAATTAGCCTTGCTAACTTTACTTTTTGTTTAATTAAAATAGCCTCTGCAGTTGTTTTGGAGGTAGGAACTAAACTTAGAGTGAGTGTTTCCAGTAGGACAGATAGTACTGGTGCACAGTCTTCCCCCCTCCCCTCACATGTGAGCTGCAGCAGCACAGCATGGCTGCAGAGTGGAGCGCACAATCGTCCAAAGTCCTCTGGAGTGTGGTTTTTCTGACAGAAAAATGTAAGATTGACTTTATCTGTTTGTAAGAACTAACACAGCTTTTAAGATTTGATTGCTTTATGTAGAGAGTAATGTGGCTTAAAACACTAGAACTTGTCTTTTACCTTTTCTGGGCCTGCTGTAATTTGCTAGTGTGCTTCCCTCCATTTATTTAAAAAAAAAAAAAGCTCTTTCAGTTAGCTTTGTGGGGTTTTGCAGAGTTGTGGCATTTTAGCATCTTCTTTTAACAGCAGTTTTGTTCCAAATGGATCTGAATGTACAGATTTGTGTGTCCAGTGATTATAATTCTTTGCTGTTCACATCCTGAAAAACAGTGATGATTATTTTAATATGAGGACACTAAAAGTTTGATATCTGAGCAACCACAGATTGCATCTTGTTTTTTTAAAGTTGAGTTTTCCTTTGTTTGAAGCACCTCCATGCCAAAGGTCGGAAGGATGACCTGTTTAGTGACCCATGCTACCAGCAGTTTGGGGAGGAGCTTAACAAGGTCCTGAAGGACTGGCAGCCCAGTGTGCTTCCTGATGGTGAGTGCAAATAGTCTGATGTGATGTTGTACTTAATTTAGTCAGATTTCCTTTTTTTAATTGACCACATGGAAAAGTGAGTGACCACATTTCATATCACTACACAATAATTTAATAATACACAAATAGCAAAAATTATTTTACATAAAATTCAGAGGTCAAATTGCATGTTCTAAAAATAAGGAGTTTAGAAAGTAAATCATCCATGACTGATCATGCTGACACTGGGGAGTGTGTTTGAGTGTATGCTCGTTAGCACAGACTAGTGGCAGAGTTCTGTTAAACTCTAGTGTTGCTCTCTATTATGAGTGGTGTCCAATGATTAGAACTCTAATGCTGTTCACATTCTGACTTGTTGTGATTGCACTTTATTTTCATATGAGGACACTGTATCAACACTAAAGGGTTAAACAAATTCTCAAGGATTTCCCTGTTTACACGACAAATAATAATTAAGTAGAATATTGTGAAGATATACATGGTGCATTTTAATCCTGACAAATGTTCCAAGCAAATGAAAATATATTAAATGACGAGGGTCACAATATGACCTCCACTTAATCTCCATCTTGGGTACTGAATAGTGAGTTTCATATTCAGGTTGATTTATTCCCTGTTGGATATTAAAGTGTTTGCTGCTCTCCCCAGGCTCGCTGTGGGGTCGAGTGGAGGAGCAGAGCCTGTGGAGCAGCAAGCAGCTCGGGGAGCAGAGTCCCGCCGCTCTGCTCCGCTCTCTGGTTTACCTGAACACCAAATACTTCGGCCTGCGCACCGTGGAGCAGCACCTCCGCCTCTCCTTTGCCAACGTCTACGGCCCTGACACCGTCCATCCTGTCACCAAGGAGACCACCGTCTGCATCCGCGTGCCTTCCATCTCTCAGGATCACCATGGTGAGGCTGGCAACATGTACATAAAGGGACATTTTTATTACTTGCTCTTAGCAATATGAGATTTTCAGCAGGTCGGTGCAAATCTACAGCAACTATCATATTCCAAGCAAACAGTTTGTACTTTTAGTTGCTTTTTAATATATGAAGGGTAGTTTTTTTAATTAAAAAAAAAAAGTCCTGTGATTATAATTCATTGCTGTTCACATCCTGAACCACAGTGTTGATTATTGAAATATGAGGACTTACTATGAAATAATGTTATTGAAGAGTTATAATTTTTTATATAATTGAATTTATTAAAGTGGAACATCAGAACAAGATGTTCACCCAATATGATAAAACACTCTCTAATGTGAAAACTACCTCACGTCATTGTTTTATTTCACATGTAATATGTTGGACTGCAAAACTAAAACAATAAACATTAAAGAATGTGCGTGTACATATATATTTGTTCTTCAGTGCAAACAGAATCTAGGAAGAGGAAGCGTAAATTGGAGGATGGCGATCAGGACTATGAACCAGACGACGACTCAGGAGGCTCCACTGTACGCTGCCCGGTTAAGAAACACGAGTGTGACCTATATGACCTCTACAGATCTAAGTGGTGGGTTCAATATATTTACTTGTTTAAAACACTTTCTCTGACCGACCATCTTCCTCACTGCAGTACTTTCTCTCTATAATTTTAATATTTTAACAAATGGTCCTCTCCAGAGGAGCAAATTGTGCAGCAGTGGAGATTGCCCCTCCGATGGTTACTATCATTAATCACAAGGCTTTTCTAGCAGTTATTCAAAGTGTTGTAATTTACTCCAGAGAGAAGCCCTTACTCATTTTATTCTGAAGGAGACTAGGGCTGCTACTGATTATTTAATCAGTTAATCTGCTCAGAGGTAGAGCAAGTCGTCCACTAATCGGAAGGTTGTTGGTTCGATCCCTGGCTCCTCCCACTGCATGTCGAAGTGTCCTTGATGCTGTGCATCGGTGTGAATGTGCACGAATGAGTTAGTGTCTACTCGATGGACTTTGCCATCACTGCCAATGTGTGTGAAGGTGCTTTGAGTGGTCGGAAGACACAAGTCCATTTACCATTATTGTTAAACATTAAGTCTGATATTAGATGGTGAGACAAAGACTAATGTAAATGATGTACAATGCCACTCAAGTTCCCAGAGCCCAAGTTGATTTCTTCCAGTTTCTTGTTTTGTGCAACCGACCATCCAGAGTCCAAACATTCCATTTAAAATCGCCAAGATAGCAGTATCTGGAGTCCAACTTGCACTGAATGTGTGTTTATATTTGAATATATGTGTATATATATGTCCATTTGATCAGTTATGTGTAAGTTTGATTTAGAGCAGGCGTCTGAAAACTCAAATTGGCTTTGGCCACTGCTAGTATTGTCATCTCATAGGAGGCTTCAATATACAGGTACTACAACAAAGTGCAATATTCAGAAAATATTTTCATTACTAACATCAGACTTAACAAAACATGCAAACAGCAGCTTCTATACATTTTCATCTTTGTTGTTCGTAGCTAAATAAATGAAGGCCCTAAACCTGCTCCCTTATCAACCATTTGCGAGTACTGCCATTGTTTTGTGCCACACAATATACATTTTGGAACTAGAATTGCTTTTTTTCATTACATATGAAGGAGTAGTTTAAATTGACATGAAACAGCTAGCAAAAACATATATTAAAGAAATCTTATTTCTAAGTCCTGTGATTATAATTCATTGCTGTTCACATCCTGAACCACAGTGTTGATTATTAAAATATGAGGACTTACCATGAAATGAAAAAAGTGAAAAGTCTCTAAACTAAGAACAAGACATTCACACTCTCTCCCCCACCCCCCACCCCCTTTCCTCTCCTCCGCAACCTCCTCCTTTCCTGTCCCAATTCCCCCCTTTTTTCCATTCCCTCACCTTCTCACCCTGTTTTTGATGCTGCTTCTTATCGCCTCACTTTTTTTCCTTTTTCTCCTTCTCTCTATCCACACTTTCCTTCTCTCCCTCCACTTTTACTCTTTCCCTACTTGTGTCCTCCCTCCCTCCAGCCCGGCGTTGTTGCGGGAGCGTCTGGATGTCTTTTACGTTCAACCGGATCCGGCCTGTAGTCCTGACGACCCGCTGTGGTTCAGCTCTACACCGCTGGAGCGACGGATCCTGGAGAGCCTCCTCACCAGAGTCCTCCTGGTCAGGGACATTTACACAGACAAACAACACCTGGAGGAAGACGAGGAGGAAGAGGACGGGGGTGAAACAGTCGGGGGAGAATAGCAGTTGGCTAGGACTTCTGTTAGTAGAGCCTGAACAGTCAGCAGAGGAGCAAGCAGAGGATAGCTAGTGTTTGCTCCTCCCCTGTCGTGTCATCCAGTCCTCCTTCCCTTCCTAGCTGACTTGCTGTTTCCTCCTGGTGAGGGGCGTCCACAACAGGGAACGTGAGAAAGTAGAGGATGATGAAGAGAAGCCCAAACTTGTACTTCTGCTGATAAATTCACCAACGGAGGAGGAGGAATTCATCTTACCTCCAATCATAAACTAGAAGAAGAGGACGGACACACGTGTGTCCTGATTTGTGATGGGAACTGGTTCAGTTTAATAGAATGAGGAGGTGGAGCTGTAATTTGTTATCTTGGGGTAAACAAAGCTAAATCAGGTAGTAAACAAAGTGTATTGACAGTTATCATATTTTTAAGACAGGATGGCTGTTGTGCATTACCGACAACTCTGAGAGCCTAGCGTGCTTATAGTGCTCACACAAGCAGCTTACAAATACTCAAACTTTTAACACAGAATCATGCTTTAACAAAGGTTATCAGCAGCCACCAGGTGGCTACAAGAAGGAGGCCTAACTGAGGCGAAGGGACAGGATGTCGTGGAGACATTCTCTCAGTCTGCCTCATGTCCTCTGCATCCCTCTGGGTAGAAAAAAGTGAGTGGAGTGCTTAGCTTCAAGAGAGTAACTTAATTTTTAGAAAGAGAATCAATAAGCATGGGACAAGGCAGACAAAGGGTCTGGGTGAATCCAGAGCCACTGCTCAGGAGGAGGGGAGTAGGAAGAGGAAGTGCAAGGCTGATGCTGTGTCCACAGAGTGGGAAGTTGAAAATTCCCAGCTGGAACGTTCCATCTTTGATACAAGTGGTACTTCTGTTCCCAATTTAGCAGCTAATAATACTATAAGTGCTACTTTACATTACACATTTCTATTTTCATGGATGATTAAACACTAAGTATTCAACAGGAGAAAAATATTCGATGCACTCTCCAATAAGTTAATATTTTAGTTAATATTTTATCCTGTTTCATCACCATAATATTTCGTACATTATCACATTACCAGACTACAAACTGCAGCATCGCTCTCAAAAAGTGCTCACACCGATATTTATTTACTTGCATCAGAAACATGACAAAATGCCCCTTACACTAGCAGGGCAGTTTCATGGGATAGGAATATTATGTGACCAAGTCCAGTAAAGGGATGTAATCAAGTGAAATCACCTGTGTGGGTATGTAGGGCCCTTGAGGTTGTAAAAAAGCTGAAGTGTATCTCGATTGTCAGCATTTTAGGTCATGCTATGTGGCACTAACAGTGTCAAAGTCCAAGAAGTGCATAATGGAATCCTCAAGCGTAAGAAATGTTGCCATGTAAGGCAACATTTTCGAATTTCTGACTTTCCAACATGTCTGGAACGCAGCATCAGCCAGGGCAATCCACCGTATCACACACATCTCAATCACCCGGGCTGCATTCATTCCATCCCATCATCCTGCTCTCAGCTCTTCCTCTGTCAGTACTGCTCTCAGGCAAAACCGTTGCACCACAGAGGACTGAGCTCAGAGGGGCAGGAGTCAGGACCGATCCAGGACAGTAAGAGAGGACTGACTCTAAACCTTCTGTTATCTCTCATCAGACAGACCCGACTGGCTGTGGTGTGGGGTAAAGGCAGCCTACAGACATGCTGCATTTCTTCATTGGGGGACACTTTCATTCATGCAATGTAGCATTATGTGCGTACTAAGCCCAGATTGGGTTGCTTTGAAGTGTAAATATCTGAAACAAGGCGGTTATTTGAACTGGAGTCAACACAGAGGGACACTGTGGTTGGGGAAAAGAAAAAAAACCTTCAGCTTGAAAACCCACCTCCTGAGAAGCCTTTTTAAAAAGACCACCTTTACGTTGGGATTTTTCTGGGTGCCATTTCCTTCTCAACCGTCATCATTGAAAACCCTGCTGCAGTCCTGCGCCCTCGCCTCTCTTTCCCATTAGAGTATTTTGCAGGAACCTGCTAAACATGAAGGACACTGATTATTCAGAACGCGACAGACTATTTTTAAAGTTTCCTTTCTGCATTCGTCCCCGTGTTCGTATTTTCATGGCATTTCTCAGTTATTCTTAGTCTCCTTTAAACTTAATATTGATTTAGTTTGAAAACTGAGCACTTGTTAATAAGTGCCCTCTTCTTCTTCCCAGATGTTTTAGAGTGCTAGCACTGCAAAGCAAAAGCTTGTAATGTAATAAAGAACTGGTTGGACATTTGAATTTTCTTTTTAATGAACTAAACTCGTGTTTTCTTCCCGAGTTACACTATCCATTGTTTCTTTGATATTTTTTTATTTATATGGTTAAAGTCCCTTTTTTTTACTTTTGAGTTTTATTTGAACTGCTTTGATTGTTTCAATAAATTTGAGAAAGTGTCATCAATTTACTTAATCCAGTGAAGATTATTTGAGGATCTTGTTTCTACTTCCTTGATCCCTTATTGACTTTAATTTAATTTGGGAAAATACTTTGAGATGCAAAGCGGGCTTCATTTTACACCAAACAAAGATGTTTCCACAACCAGTGCTCAAAATATAAGGAACACCCTCCAGATGTTTGACCCACCATGTCTCTAATTTCTCTCAGATTAAAAATGTTTTCTCTGCATGATCCACATGACTGCTCCTCCTGACTGAAGTGGATTTACCTGGAGAACAAGGTCAGGGAACACAATGTCATAGTTTATTTTATCTAATGAGCAGGTGTTCCTGTTATTTTGTACACTTGACTGTGCATTCAGTGGTCTTGAACTACATTTCAGAAGCAAATGTGGATTTAGAAGGAGGACATTGGTCTGGATTTCACCAGCCCAAAATCCAAACCGTTAAACCTGAGTGGAATTTAACAAAACTGACGCGGGATCAGAGGACCCTGGTTAACCTGGCTGATTTTCCTGCTGGACTCAGAGGTAGTGACCAAACCTGCAACAGGTTTGGACCTACAGTAGACGCTGTGGCTGGCTTTAATGCCTAATGTGAATGTGCCTATCTGTATATACTGAAAGTGAGTGATTGTGACTTGAGTCTGATGCTATGTGTGTGGGCTGATCTGCTGATACGGTCATGTTAAATAAATGGTTTCATTTTCTAACCAGACTCCCTAATGATGCGCTTTTATTTGCCTGTAGTAATAGTAATTTGCAATTGTTTCACTGCTGACCCAATATAATGGAGGTGACTAGAACCTGTGCTCAAAGCATTAAACAAACAAACTCTATCCTAAAGGACCAGTGTGTAGGGTTTAGTGGTATCTGGCACTGAAGTTGCAGATTGCAACCAACTGAATACTACTTGGCTTCCAAGCGCATAGGAGAAACTACGGTGGGTGCAAAAATTGCGTAAGGCCCAGTCTACAGCCAGTGTTTGTCCATCGTGGACTACAGTAGAAACATAGTGGACTGTGAAAGAGGGCCGGCTCCTTCTGTAGATAAAAAGGGCTCATTCTAAGGTAGCAAAACTAGTCTTATTTTCAGATGGTATACACTAATGAAAACATACCAAGGGATATTCAATTTCTGCCAACAGATCCTCCTGAATCACTAACCAGGAATTAGTTTCTGCTGAGACATCTTGTCATTTTAAATTAAATTATTTTTCCATTGTTCTGGGTTTATAGCACAAAACTTTAAACTAGTAAGGCTAAGAAAAGAAATTTCTTTTTGTGATTTTGGTGAACTGACCCTTTAAAGAATCAGGGAATCACAAGGTTGATGGTGCAAATTTCCCAAATAGGAAACTAGAGAACAGATCAATGGGGAATAGGGAATGAAACTCAGAAAACTCTTGAAAACACTACAAGAGTACACTACGTATGTGGACAGCTGCATATAGATAGACCCATATGACTGTTAAACATGTCATTTCAAAACCACGTCCATTAATGCACTGCTATTATGACCATGGGTCAATGACCTTGTTATCCACTCTAATGTAAAATATTATACACATCCCCAAGAAGACCGTCATTGTTGTTTCCCACTGTCGAGGTTAAAATTATTACAGCGTGTTAACGCTGGCACAACATGGCGCCATCCTCACTGTGTTCTGGCCTTCCTCACTATCAGGTCCCATTTTTTACAAGGTGCCAGGCGGACATGTCGCCGAGGCAGGGACTGTTATCTGGGAGATGATGGACAGCAGGGCAGGAGGAGGTGTGGCCTGTCGACACCCTGGGGTCAGTGCGACAGCCAGGGAGACGAGGCTCAGGTCCTGGGAGAGGAAGTTGCATTTGAAAGGTTAAAGAGGCGAGGATGTGTTGTGTCACCATGCAGAGACTAGGTAGCATAGATAGTTCATAAGAGAGGACAGTGAAGTGAACATTTAAAGTCTTCCTCTTTTCAAAATGTTTTCTTCTTGTTCCTACACTGTGCTGTTAGAATGATCTCTATGCAGAGTTTGACACTAGAA